TAACCATCATACCCAGCATGGAAGATCCTTCATTATCTAGTCGGAATAGATTAGTTTATCCTTAATTTCTCCTATAACTCCCCTCTGCAGTCATTCAGAACTTGTTTTATTTCCTTAAAAGCATCTTGACTATTCATATCCGTGTTTTTTTACAGCTGCCTTTCCCTCTTCTTGAGTGTAATTACCCTTGTCTTAGGTTGGGTCCCCACAGAAGTAGATCTGAAACAGTAATTCAAGTGGGAGTCATTTATTTGGGACATGATCCCAGGAAATACCATCAGAGGAATGGGGAAGGGAGACAGGAAAGTGAAGGAAGGCAGGGATGTTAAATTATAAACACATTACCACTGGACAACTGGGGCTCATTTCCAATGCTGAGAAGGAGACTCTGGGACACAGTATAGAACATGCTTCTGAATTAGCCCACCAAGAAGCAAGGGAGCTGGAGTACTTATATGCAACTCTTGTCAGTTGTTTACAAAAGAACTAGTGGCCCAGTGCATGGATTTGTGCACATTGAAAGGAAAATAATTAGAAGAAATATTTTAATATTGCTATTTGCCCTTTCTCTGTAATGGAAGTGTCAGAGCCACCACTGGTCGCCATCTGTGGGGCAATTGGCAGGGTGTTCGGGCCTCCTCTTGCACCTACCTTGGCCTGGCACCACCTGGTCACCTGCTCCACCATCCCACCATAGTCCTGCTCTACTCAGGACCCATCAGGGTTGGCAGTGCCTCCACTGCCACCTGCTGCTAGCGCTTTGTCGCAGACGCCCGCCATGTTCCGCGCCGCCCCTGGTGGTCAGCGCACGTCATAGCGAGCGGTCGAACTCCTAGTCAAACTCCCGGTTGAGTGGACAATTTGCATATTAGGCTTTTATTATATAGGATGCCCTCTGGGGTGTGAAAATTCCCTTATATTTCTTGAGCGGGTTCAAGCAAACCAGAGAAAACCCTCAGACAAAGAGACCTACGGGCTGGCGGCTGGATGTCAGACTGACAATCACTGAAGCATCAAGGAACATGGAGGAGTAGGCAGAGCATCCACTTTTGCTGGGAATCTACTGCAGCCTTTCCCCCCTAGCGAATTCTCACCCGTTAGGATTCCGTGTAAGTCTCACCTCTTCTGGAAAGCCTTCACAGACATTCTCTCTGACTTAGCGGCCACATGTCTATTTCTCAGTAGAACCTCTGCATACCTGCACCAGAGACTCTGTTACTTTCTCTTCTGATTATTGTTTTAATTTCCTGTATCACCCACTTCTTTGGGAGCTCTTTGAAGGAAGGAATTGTAAACCCATTTCTTCAGGGCCTTGCATAGTTCTGGCATGTGGTGTTGCTCCATAAATGGTTGTTTAGGTAGTAAAAGTAGTATAATAATGACATCCTAATAGTGAAAGCCAGTATTTATTGAATGCTTATTCTGTGTAAACATTTTACATGTATTACCAACTCTAGAATATTAGTACCTTTATTATGCCTATTTTCTTGATGAGGAGCTAAAGTATATAGGTTTACAGAATTTGCCCAAGATTATACAGCTATTTATAGTTGGGCCTGGAAGTAAGTCCAAACAGTCGGAGTCAAGGTTCTGGATACATACTTAACTACTGTATGTATAAATTAGTGAATGACTGGAATGAATGAATGAATGAATGAATGAATGAATGAATGAAAGAAAACACCAAATCTGATTCTTCAACACAGTAGGCTAATTCTGGGGACGATGCTGTTAGAACAGTCTATAAAGTTGAAATGTTTGCTCCGATGTCACATTTTCTAAGAACCCTTCCAAGTAGTCCACTAGAAGCATCTATCCCTTCTCTGACACCTTTCGTAATGGCACTGACAACTCACTATCATATGTTCAAATGTATCTTCATGTTCTAGTTTCCTTACTAATGATAAGTTTCTAGACAACTGCTTAAGAGTCTGATTCATCAGGTGTTTTTTGTTTCCACAAGCACAAAGCCTTGCACACAACAGACTACCAATGAGTGTTTTCCAGGTAGACTATTGGATACATGGGTGACAAGCAAACAAATATTGGACTCTTCCATTATCTTTTCCTAGAAACTGTAGAGACTCATTTTCACCCCACTCTGAGGTTCCAGGGAGTCTGTCGTCATAGAGATTTTAGATGGTTCCGAAAACAGAATTCTGTGTAAATATATTAAGTTCAGGGAAGAATCTGTGAAGAGTTTTCTTTATAACATTTTGATAATCATTTAGTTAGAAAATTATATTTCTAAGAAATAGGTATTCTTTCTCCCAAAACTGCATTTTTAGGAAGAATTAAAGAAAGAAATTGTATAGAAAATCGCTAATGTTTCCAACAGCTGAACGAAAGATTTACTTTTTTAAAAGCTAATGATGGTTATCATGAATTACCTTTCTAATACCTCAAATTAAATACATTTTCCATTTCCACTGACTAATATACCTCTAATCTTTATTTATAATTAACACTAAGAAGAGTGCCATATTGAATAAATGTGGCTAAAAATTACTATATTATAAAACACAACCAGAAGGAAGTTGCAAATCTTTACTGAGTCCTCATTATTTTCTGACCATCACATAGATACATTTTGTCCTAATATATACAAGCAACATAGAAAATAACAGAAATTTAATCCAGCGAAAAATTTCTTTATTGATTTCAGTGTATAAAATTAATTACATTAGGTACCACAGAATACAAAGGAACATAACACACGGTCTTTACCTTTGCAGAACTTGTGATATAGAGATGAACATTTGGAAGATAGCTATATTAACTAGTAACTGTAGAATTTGGTGGTAATAATAGCTAATATTTGGCACTTGACAATGTTTCAGTAGCAGTCCTAATGCTTTATGTGGCATTATCTCATTGAATTCTTACAGCTCTATAAAGGAGGCAGTATTATTTCCCACTTTATGGTTGATGAGCCTGAAACTCAGGAAGGTTTGGCAAGTTCTCCAAGATCACATGCCTAGAGAATGGGTGGGTGGAGGAACCTATATGCATACCTAAACCCAAAGGTCCTTAACATTCATATGTTGACAGCAATAAAATATGTCAAAGGGAATATTATTCATTCAAACTTGGTTTGAGCAAATGTTATGCCACCTCAGCCTTGGTCTTGAAGGATGAGAATGGAGAAATGGAGCAGACCCTTGCTTCCGAGACTGAGGCAGGTAAAGGAAGCTAAAGGAGTCCCTGAGAAAATAGAGAAGATTAAGGTGTTGTCAAGTATGTAGGTGCCAGCATGAACGGAACAGGGGTGGTGAAATGGGGAAAATTGGTTGGAACCAGATATTTTGGCCTTAAGTGTTACCCTGAAAAAACCTAAACTTTTCTCATTAAACAAAAAAGAGTCACTGAAAGGTTGTGAACCAGATCAGAATTGTATTTTAAGATTGATTTGGCAGCTACATGTAAAAGGAATTGGAGTCAGGAGTGGCAAGAACAGAGGACCAGTTTGGAAATCATAATCCAGGTAGGGCAAATGGCACTGATAGTCTGAATCTGGGTTGCAGTATGTGAGTAGAAAGGAGGAAACATGGAAATGGACAGTATTTGGCACTGACTAGATGTGAGGAATATGTAAGAACAACACAAAAGTTCAAAACAGCAAATATGTCATCCAGAGTACAGAGGAAACACATGTCCTTATCCAGTTGAAGGGGTTGCCTGGGCACGGAGAGGAGGGGAGTAAAATGGGAGTGGTGACACTGGTGGGGCATGTGAAAGCACAGCGTTAAAGGTTGGGATTTAGATGTGTAGCAGTCAGGGCTTGGTCACTATGTTGAACTACAACCCAGTGGTGAGCCCACATTTCTCAGATATTTGAGGTGAGCAGGCACATCTTTACTAAATGCAGAAAAGGTGGTATATAAAGTCTGTGAGTTTTATTTTTTAGGAACTGAAATTATTTAAGTGATCATGCATAACTTTTATAACAAAAAACAAATTATTGCATATATAGCTTGTTATAAATATATGACAAATTTTTAAAGAAATATAAACCCCAGCCCTAACTGGTTTGGCTCAGTGGATAGAGCGTTGCGTGCGGACTGAAAGGTCCCAGTTTCAATTCCGGTCAAGGGCATGTACCTTGCTTGTAGGCACATCCCCAGTAGGGAGTGTGCAGGAGGCAGCTGATCGATGTTCTCTCCCATCAATATTTCTAACTCTCTATCCCTTTCCCTTCGTCTCTGTAAAAAATCAATAAAATATATATTTTTTTTAAAAAGGTAAACCCCAGGTGCTCTAATATGTGTACTTTCTTCCTAATTTACCTGATAGTATAAGACAGTAAAAATGCATGATGTATCATTCTCTTTTCCTCTTTTTTTAAAACAGAATAATGCATATTGGAAAGGGATAGTAATAAATTATTTATTACATATACATTGCCAAAATATTTATTTAATTAAAAGCAAAATACCAAATATACAGGTAATCCCACAAATGACCAAAATTAAACTGCCATAGCTTTTAGCATTCTCAGTCAGTCTTTACTTATATGCAAAACTAATTTTTGCATACTGTAATGATGTATTAGAATAAATGTATATGTTTCTAAGGTAGAGTTTGGGTAGTGTGTTTTTTTTTATCTTTATTGTAGAAAGTATTACATATGTCACCTTTTTCCCCCATTGACCCTCTCCATCCCACCCCCTGTCAAGCCTTTACCACCCTCTTGTCTGTGTCCATGGTTTGTGCATGTGTGCATACAAGTTCTTTGGTTAATCTCTTCTCATCACCCAGCCTTCCCCACCTTCCTTCTGATATTTGTCAGTCAGTTCCATGCTTCTATGTCTCTGGATTCATTTTGTTCATCAGTTTATTTTGTTCATTAGATTCCACATATGAGTGAGATCATGTGATACTGGTATCATCCTCTTTTTTACTAAGTTTTTTTTCTTTTCTTTTTTTTTTAATTAATCAATTGGAGAATTCAAGTGCTCTGGCTTTCATATGAATTTTTCTTTATCTTTTTTTTTAAATAGGTGATAATGAAGAAGAAGATGTTGACATGAAAGAAGATTCAGGTATTAAATTTATAAATTTATTCTTAGAGGAAGGGAAAAAATCATCCTATTGATTATGTACATTTTACTTTTTTTAAGAAAAGACAAAATAAGGTTTATGAAATGTATGTTCAAGATCATAAGATAAAGTAGTTTTGTTAACTCTTATGGCTAATATAGCTACTATATTTAAGCATTAAATTTTACTTTGAGATTCCTGACAGTTAAGGTAAAAATGAAACATAAGGTTGCAGTTAATAGAGCTGTGTAACATGTCACCCCCAAAACTTGGTGGCTAAAACACCCACTCATTGTGCCCATATTTTCAGTGGACCAATAATTCAGACCGAACATAGCAAGAGTGACTTGATAATCCTCCTTCACAGTCCTGAGGCCTCAGCAGAAAAACTCAACATCTCTGGGCTGAAATCTTCTGAAGATTCCCTCACACACATGCTTGGCTGGTGATGAATATTGGCTATCAGCTGAAACCTTAGCCGGGGCAGTTTTCTGAAACACCTATGCATGGCCTCTTTATGTTGGTTGGGCTTCCTCATAGCATGGCTGCCAGGTTCCAAAGTGGTTTATATAGAGAGAGAGCAAGCCAGAGGGAGCTTAGCCCTTTATAGAACTCAGCCTTCAGGAGAACTATAGCATCACTTCTACTGAACTTTTTTCGGAAGTCAGTCAATTCACCTAGGCTTAGAGAAAGAGAAAATAGACTCAATCTCTTAGTGAGGAGCAGTGAGGTTCTGCAAAGCATGTAGGACCTGAAATGTTGCTGTGGGCATTTTTGGAAAATACATTTGTACATGTAATATATTGTCTCATTATCAGAAATTAAGATGCCTACCAACTCCTCCAGAAAGACTAGTGTTTGATGAGAGAAATCTAGTGGCGAAAAGCATAGGCTCTGGACTGAGGTAGCCACTCAATCTGTGCCTGATAATGAATGCATGAATCAACAGGCCTGAATTCAATTCTGGTTCCATCACTTTTTTACTTTGGGCAACAGTCTTTTCTCTATAATCTCAGTTTATACCTCTGGGGGCAATAACTCACCATATAGTCTTATTTGAGGGATTACATTATATCAAGTCCAAAATGTGTCTTGGAGCATAATAAACACTCAATAAATTATTACTTTTCTCTATGTCATTCTAACAAATACTGAAAGGGTATAGGACTTAATTCTATGGTATAAGTTCCCGATTCTGATGGCTACCCTACTCAAGGCATGAATTAAATCCAGATTTCAAAATGAAAATAGGTATCTTAGTGGTTCTAATTTTTGTGTAACTTCTATTCAATTTCATAACTGCCTACAAATCACTGACAACCTTAGTCTGAGCAGCTCCATTAACAGGGAATTCTTTAAATTATGAGGCAACCAATCTCATTAGGTAAAGTTTGGTTAAAATTGTCCTTCTCCTTGTTAAATCAAATTTACCTCCCTTCCTTGATCTCTCACTATCTTCCTGGAGAAATAACACCAGTTCCTTTTCTTCCTAACAGTTCATTGGAACATTGATCATTGCTTCTATCTATTCTTCTTCAGTCGGAACACGTCTGATTTCTAAAGTTCCCTTGGTCTCCTCAGGGCAATATTCAGAGGGTCCTAGAAGCAGAGGGACAGTCTAGACTTTGGGAGCAGGAATGAACTAGGTGGATGGGGCATGGTAGCAGCAGCTGTCAGTTTCCTACCTGTGTCCCCTTGACACTCACGGTCACTTTCCAACTTCAACAGCTTTCTGAGGAAAGTTCTTGTGAAAGAAAGTTCTCTGCTGAGTGCTTTTCTCTGCTCATGAAAGCAAACGCAAAATACCAGGAGATTAATTTCTCTGGAGCAACCCTCAATCAAGGATAGACATGAGTTGATCAGCCCCCCTGTAGGACGCATCAGAGGCATGTTCTTCTCCAGCACTGTTCAGTAGAAATATAATGCAAGTCTCAAATGTGAGGCTCAGGTATAATTTCAGATATTCTAGTGGTCACATTGAAAAAAAAAAAGAGGATTTAATTGAATAATATTTTAATAATATTTATGTAACATCATATATATAAAACATAATTTCAATGTATAAACAATATAAATATTAGTCAGATATTTTACTTCTTTTCATCCTATGTTTTTGAAATTTGTTTGCATTTTACATTCACATCTCAATTCAGACTAGCCACCTTTCAAGTACTCCTGGGCGGTATGTGGTGTTGGACAGTAAGATTCTGTATCATTGCCCAGAGGTCCCCAGGAGAACTGAGCCCTGATTGTTTACTGTGGATCTTGCTCATTAGCACACCCAGGGTTGGCTGCCTTTCCTTTTCTGTTTCACTTCCCTACTCCCCTCTGGTGTTTCCTGGGATAATCTCTCTAAGTACTAACATTCAAACCTTTGTCTCAGTGCCTTATTTCTGAGACAATCCAAACTAAAACAAGACTCTGCTTGCCTTTTGTAAAACACAAAGGCCAAGATAAAATTTAAATTAAAGTGTCAATTCATATACCCATGCAGGATGTCTCATTATTAAAAAAAAAAAAAAAGAAAGAAAAAGAAACAACTTATGTTGAAAAATGACTTTCAGTGGTCACCTTGTCTTGGATTGCATTCATGAATTTAACGTTAATGTTTGCTATTCTCATTTAGCCTGCCCACATAAAGTATCCTTGGAAAATCCTTCAATATTCCCAGCAAAGGAGTATTGTCCTTTTAGCTAGCCAGCATCAAGACCTTATCTTTGCTAAGGATCATTTGCCTAAGTGCCATAAGCATACATTTCTAGGCAAAGGGAGTTGTCTTCTTAATGAGATGCAGATAGCTGTCCAACCCACTGAGTGATTTGGAGGAACTCATTAGTAATGCTAATGAGAGCCCACTAGGATGGAGCCAGCACTTGCAGTTTGGAGTCCTTAATTGGATCGCCATGTCTGATTTTAGTCCCGCCACGTTTCCTGGGGGTTTTGTCTCCAGCAGCTGGGCGCAGCTGTTCAAGGATGCAGGCAAAATGGACTTTGGAAGCTGCTCTCCATTTCCTAATATCTATGATTGCTGAAATCATGGGTGATTTCTGTGCTGGATGGTTCCATGGGGTGCCAGCTGGGCTTGCCAGACATTGGTGAACAGGCTGGCTTCAGTTGAGATCGCACATTTGGGCATGTTGGTCTCCAAGATGGGTCTGAACAAATTTCCCAAGACCATTAGCTGCTGCTTCCCCTCTACCATGCATCACCTCTTCTTCTCATATAAGTAGAAATGCTGGAGGGACTTTTTAAGAATGGAATTAATGAAAATGATAGGCTACTTGAGTGAAGCAACCAGCCAACAGATGCTAGTAGATAATAGTGAACAATAATTTGAATACAAAAAGCCAGTGAGGTGCTGGTAAACTGACTCTGGGTGGAAGAAGCCCCAATGTGAAGAGTTTGCAGATTTCGTGATGTAAATACACCTACTTGGTATTGTTAAATCTACCAAGCATGAGGTTGATGCATGTCAGAGTTGAGGAGAGATGGGTACAGTAAGCTAGTGTGAGCTGGTTCAAGTCAGCCCCAGCATACCTCTGCTGAGTCATATTTTAATTGAACATGTACCTTGTACCAATCCCTCAACATACATGAACTCATTTAAGATACACAACAACTCTAGGAGGCCGGGAATGTTATTACAGAGGCTTAAGAAGGATTGGTTCCTTGCTTAAATACTAGAAACAGAATTTAGTTGTATCTGATCTCAAAACTCATATTCTTAACTTTGTGCTCCTGTCTCCAAACTATAATAGTAAGTAGAGGCAGGAACATCTCAGTTGTTGTCAGACTAGGTCAGTGGTCAGCAAACTGCGGCTCGCGAGCCACATGCGGCTCTTTGGACCCTTGAGTGTGGCCACGAAGTTTCAATCACACTGTACGTGCATGCCCACACGTGGTATTTTGTGGAAGAGCCACACTCAAGGGGCCGCAGTTTGCCCACCATTGGACTAGGTCATCCTCAGGATGAGGCTCTGCCCCCATGGGGAAATGGTAGGAACAGACTGGTTTAAATGCCTACTTATTTTAAGTCCTTTAATATTTCTGTAATCCTGGCACAGTAAATGTTTTCCTAGGTCCTTCCATTTCCATGACCTGACCATGCACTGTTCCCAAACTGCGCCAGCAGGGACAGAAAACCAGCAGCCACGCATGCCATTTCAGCCACATGAGAGCCAGGAACAGAGCTGAGTTCCTCAAGTGGCAAAGCCAAGCTCATGGCAAATGTCCAGGTTTCCACTCTCTGCCAGAATCAGAGACAACATACATAATGTAATACACTGTCAAGGAGAAGCGTGGGTGCTTTTGTAGAAACATTTCTTTAGCTTCCCAGGCCAAGAGGGAGCGTGGTTCCTGCTGAGCCACAAGAGGAATCTGAGCATAGAGGCCATATGTGCCAGTGGCTTTCGTGTGAGTTGCTCCACAGGGGTGATGAAATGATACTGCACTAATGTCATAGATGATTATGTTCATGATTACCATGTATCCATGCCCACAGACTACCTGAGGAGCGCCCTACAACTTTTCAACAGTGCAGCACTAGTACTTTTGGGGTTCTTAAAAATCTCAAAAGAGGGCAAATTCTTGTCTTTTTAAATCTAACTCAGGTGGGAATTCCCATTCTGGTGGGGAATCAAAAATTAAGAATTTAATTCTCAAACACCCACCTTCATGAAATGCTGGTTTGAATTTCTGTTCCAAGGATTGGAAATACTTTTCTTGATCCATGAATTTCAGGGACACTGAAGGCTTAGAGTCTACTCTCAGGGAGTGTTGCTTTTGCCCATTTTATGAATCCCTTTGAGCTGAGCATCTGTGCTCTGTGAGCTGTGCCAAGTACCTCAATTCTTGTTGTACTGAACCAGTTCTGAAGGGTCAATGCCAATCTCACACCTAGTGACAGAAGTTTGGGGGGAGTTACTAATTTAGTATTGGCAAAATGTTTCACCCTGCGTGTGGTAATGATCTTAGATGTGGTGGACTTGCAACCACAGAGAACCTAACCTAGTGCTCCAAAAGCTTTGTAGTCCATAATTCCAATGTTTTTAGTGGCATATCTAGCAAGTGCATTTTTTGTTCGGTTCCTCTTTTAATAAATGCGAAAGGAAAAATGAGTTGCCATAGCCATGTAGTGTAATTTTTAATGCTGGAATAAGGCCACAGCTGCTAAGAGAGTGAGAATTAGGCATGGGCACCATTTTAAAAAAGGCCTGGGTGAAGGGAAAATAAAACAGAATTTGAAATGAAATTCTCAAGGCACTGCTGGGCAACAGAGGCCCCAAGAAAGATTAGGAAACATAAATACTTTTTTCTCCTTAGACTTACATTCCCACATGTGGGGTAGAGGAGAAAGACACACAATAAAGAAATAAACAAGGGGACAAGATTTTTTTAGATACACCAAATTATGTGTTTCAGAGAGATTTTCCTTGCAGGAATTCCTCTCATTAGGTGGTCAAGGAAAGCCTTTCTTGGGAGCTGAATTTGATGTGAGATTAAAATGTAAGAAGTTAGCCCTAGCTGGTTTGGTTCAGTGGATAGAGCATCGACCTGGGGACTGAAGGGTCCTGAGTTTGATTCCAGTCATGTCCACATATCTAGGTTGCAGGCTCCTCCCTGACCTGGGCCCTGGTTAGGGCTCATGCAGAAGGCAACCAATCAATGTATTTCTCTCACATCAATGTTTCTCTCTGTCTTTCCCTCACTTTTCCACTCTCTCTAAAAAATAGCAGTGGAAAAATATCCTCAGGTGAGGATTTTAAAAAAAAGTAAGAAGAAGGTAGGCATATGAGTGTGTGTGTGTGTGTGTGTGTGTGTGTGTGTGTGTGTGTGTGTGTGTGTGTAGTGGGGAGTAGAGAAGTACAGAAGGTGCAAAGGTCCTGAGGCAGGAGCCAACCTACTAGTCAATGAAGAACACAAAGGGAGCCAATAATCTGAAGCCAAAGAGCAAAGGGGAGATGAAGCTAGAGTGCTAGAAGGAGCCCAAATGTCATATTGTCCTGGGCCATAAAGTTAGATTTAGATCTTATTCTAAGAGCAATGTTTTTTTTTTTAACAGGAAAGCAACAAGATCTGGTTTATGTTTTAAAGACAATTCTGGCTACTATGTGGAGAGTGGTAGAGTGTAGGAATATTTAAAAGTTATAAGTTAGAATTCAGAAGGTTATTTTATTATTCCAGGTAAGAGAAATGGTAGTCTGGACTGGGATGATGATTGCAAAGGATGAGCACAGTGTTTGAATGTCAGATATATTTTGGAGCAGAGTTGATAGGACTTATGATAGAACTTACAGTTGCTTTACTAGAAAAATAAATGAAGAGAAATATTAAGGATAGCTCAGGGTTTTTTTAAAAATTTAATTCCTGGGCAGATACCAATATTATTCCTTCAAATGCACCATACTATGGGGAGAATAGGTTTGCAGACATTAAAAAAAATTGTGGATGAAATTGCACAATGAAAACTGTTCATTAATTAACCCATAAAGTTTTAAATCAAGTTCTCCTGAAAAAAAATAAGTTGAGTTTGCCTTATAGAGAAATTTTAATTTTATAAAAAGCACTTAAGATTTCACATTTGTATGAATCATTAACGATGTCAACAAAAAAAATTTAAGCTTGAACTTAAGTGTAAGTCTATTTTCATAGGAGAATCAACAAACCTTAGCTCAACCAGGATGACAGATGAATCTGCAATTAGACCTCACTGTGTGGGGGGGTTTACTAAGAAGAAAACATTTTTAAACTTTAACATAATGTTGAGCTCTACTGGTAAATATTTAAATAAGAATGTTTTACATCTTTGTGCTTCCAGAAGGGGTAGAGCCAAAAGCCCTCTCTCCACCCCACAAGAAAAGCAAAGCCAAGAAGCCGGAAAGTTCCAAAGACTCTAGCGAGGGTAAGTCATGCTTCTCCTTTCTTTAATAAATCCTGCCGGTAAAAAAAATTCTCTTTAATTTTTAAATTATGTGTATGCTGTCATGTTTGCAGATATTTCTAAGGTCCAAAAATCACAGGACAATTCTTTTTCTTTTCCTACTATGTTTACTCTCCCCTAAATGAGATTTTAAAAAATCAAATTTAAGTTTAATTTGTTAAGGTAAAAACCAAATTTTTTTAAAAAATTGTTTTTTCTCAGTGTGATTTACATTTCTCATTTCTGCCAAGCACGGAGTTGGGAGTAGCGTTCTGAAATCCTGTGAGGCTGAAGTCGAGACCTATACATGATGAGCAGTGCCATGGCTGTTGGCTTATTGTGATCATTTGTTTTTCTGACGAACACATTCTGAGTCCAGCACTCAGCATTGGGTGGTGGAAATGCTTCCTGTCTTTAGAGTTTTCTTCCGTTTTCTAGAAGCCAATGTATCTTTGCACTCAGGCATTGAATAAGCAGGCTCAATTGGACTCAGTTTTATAAAGAAATGGCTGTCTCTCTGTTACAACACTGGTATCGCTTTCAAGATGTTCAAATTTTTCCTTTAAAATGTAGGTGAGAGGAGAAGATTTGACTTTGGCTGGTGGGCACACGGTGCAATATACAGATCTTGTGGCATAGAATATTTAAAAGTTATAAGTTAGAATTCAGAAGGTTATTTTCATATGCAGGAGTGAAATCCAGCATTCAAAACCTAGATGTTCATGTTGACTAATGTCACCGCAATCAATTTAATAAGAAAACAACAACAAATAAATAAAATGTAGGTGAGGCATTTTTTAAGCGATCCACTAAGCTAAGAGCAAGCATAACCTTCTAAAAGGGTAACACACTTATGCATTCTACTACCTTGCTTGGAACCCCACTTCATCCACTGTGAAATAGAGAGAATAATAATGCTGACAGTGTCAGCTTTGGTCTTCCCGGAGGATGATGCCAAGATGAAGAAGTGCAGGAAGTTAGAGAGGGAAAGTGTGTGAAGGATAAGGAGGAGCAGGAGTGAGAGCAGGCGTAGGTGGAAGGAGAGAAGGGAGGGAGGAGGATTCGCCGCTGAGAAGAGCCTCCGTCTGCTTTGCAGGCAGAAAGTCTGGGGAGGTCCAGAGCAAGGGTTGGTCATCAGAGGAGCCATGCTCAGGGCAGGAATGCTGGGCTCCTGAGTCCCTTTCCCTTGCTCATTCCCTGGCGGCAAGCAGCTTGGAGAGAAAGTAGCCTTGGCACGAATATTAGGCTGCAGTGAATTCCAAAAGGGTGGATGCTGGAAGCTGTCAGCTAACTTCATTCCCAGTAGCAGGTTCTCTCTTGAGGGGAGATCTTGAGCAGCTCCCCTCATGACTGCACAGCATCTGTGTGAGCTTCAGGCTTCTACTTGATAAGCAGTGCCGCTGCCTTCCCCCTCACAGGGTTCAGAACCAATTGAGGATGCAAATCTGTAAGAAAGTTTAAAATAAAACTTTGTTTATTTCGAATGAGGTTTGCTTTATTCTGAATGAGGTCAGACTGGCGCATCTTGACCCCTAATGGGCTTTTGAATGCTGGATTTCACTCCTGCATATGAAAAACACCATTGGTGCTTTCAGGAGAAAGTGCTGGTGTCCTTGGTATTCTGTGTCTCTGCCTCCCTTTTATGCTTTCTGGTTATTTATATTTTAGTTGAAACATAAAATATCTTCTAAAATAACCTGTATCTGGAATTTAAATATCTCTAATCTTTGTAAGTAGAATTCTGTCATTTATTGTTTCTGCAGACTCATACTTATTGTTGTCTTTTTGTATTTTATCTTTTTAAAATATATTTTATTGATTTCTTAAAGAGAGGAAGGGAGAGGGATAGAGAGTTAGAAACATCGATGAGAGAGAAACATCAATCAGCTGCCTCCTGCACACCCCCTACTGGGGATGTGCCCGCAACCAAGGTACATACCCTTGGCCGGAATCGAACCTGGGACCTTTCAGTCTGTAGGCCGATGCTCTATCCACCGAGCCAAACCAGTCAGGGCTCTATTTTATCTTTTTTGATTGTCAAAGTCCCTGCATTTTTATTTGTGAAAGGTTTTTGAAGTTGGGTTAGTCACATTTTGTTTTTTGAGGTACCTGGAGATACTACCACCTTAGGAATTCTTTGAACTAAAAAATAATTTTCTCAGGGTTTGATTTTTGGCTTTGTTTTGCTTGCTACTTGTCCTTAAACTCATATTAGTGTGTGTATAAGATCAGGAATTCTCAACAAATGTTTTTTTTTTTCTTCCTTTTCCCCTCTCCAACCAATGCTAAACTGAGGCAGGCAAATTTTCCACTATATTTAGGACCAAAGCAGTAGCCCTTCTGTGCTTTACATGCATGGCCTGTTCAAACCCAAGCTCTAGCTAGTGGTGCTCAAAGAGTATTTGTGTATCTGTATCACCAACATCGCCTGGGAACTTGGTAGAAATACAAATTCAAGGGCCCTATCCCAGACCTACTGCATCAGAAATTCTGAGGTGGTGCCCAGTTATCTGTGCTTTTAAAAGCCTTCTGGGTATTCAGATATGTGTTCAAGTTTGAGAATCACTATTCTAGTCTAGATCATCCGGGATTGACAAATGCCTCAAAGCAAATAATAATTTCAGTGCTTGCTTATAAATCTTGATTCAATCTCCTTCATAATTTCCTGTTTCTAAGAAGTTCCCTTACAAAAGCATCAACTCAGCCATGTATTCAAGAATCAGATAGAGAGAAGGGGAGAGAGAGAGAGAGAGAGAACATAAATGACTGGTAGATGGTACATAACCACAAATAAATATGTACCCATATCTGTATGTGTATGCATACCTACATTTATAATGCACAGTCTGGAAAGATGAAAGATATATATCAAATGACCTCAGGAATTATCTCGGTGGAGTAGAGAAGGGGCAAGGGAAGATTTTTGGAGTGTTTATTATTCAATTTTAAAATGTATGTGTAATTGAAAAATATATATGGCAAGAATCATTTTATATTTATAAAACAAAAACATATTTTCATTAAAAAACAAAAGAGAATGTATAGTATGCTTCTAAAATACAGTAGCAAGATAAGAACAGTAATTTTCCCTGTACATAGACCTTCAAAGCCTTCAGTGGGTTTTAGAAATGAGTGCTATTTCCATTCATATTTGTACAGAAAGCACTAGCACTTCGACTCTTGCTCTACAATTGCCTCCACATAGAATATTCAACAAGCCTGCATGTGTGACGCTCATTCTTCAGGAAACCGGGCCCTTTAAATGCTAAATCAAGCAACCCTATTCTGCACTTTAAAATGTTAATGATATCTTTTGTCAGATGAAATTATACGTGGAAGCGTCTTAGAAACTTGAAATCACTATACAAGTTTGAAGGATCTAATGTTGCTATTTTAGGTATTATTATTATTGTTTTTACTAAAATAATTTTTTTCTGAATACATGAACCATTGGTGGAATGCACTTTGCATTCCCTGGGCGCTGGAATTTTCTCTCTGCCCACTTATTTTCTCTGCATATTAAAATATCATGTGACACGCTGTTTTGTGAGTGGCTGGACAGGAGGGACATTCTATCTTTCAGAATGCCTTGCAGCAGTTCATGCATTATATTCATAAGCATGATCTTTAATTTAATTCTTGTGACAAGTGCAGTGAAGGGTAAAATCAGGCAGTCATAATTTTGACTTTGCCATCACTCAAATGAGCTTAGCTTAGTGACTGACCAGCTTTATTTTAAAAGAAAGTGAAAATAGAGAAAAGCAGTGTTTTCATGAAGAAAATCTTTATTTTATCCTCTCCTTAAAGTAACAAGAATTTAAGCAAAATGTAAATTTTTGTGCTGAAAATTAGAATATAATAAAAGCTTATGTCATCATCTTGCTTTAATTATACTCCCTGTGCTGCTTGGTTCTGGGCCATTCTGAACCACCCTCCTGCTGCGAATTAGCAGAAGGACTCAACAGTCTATTTCATTTTCAGTAGTGCTCTCCACACTTACCCATTAAACAGCTGTAGTTATGACCATAGACTCCTGTTTCAGAGTCAATTCTGGGATTTAAGTGGGGCTTAGAGAAAGTGAGCCCTGAGGGATTTTTCATAGTGACAAAGGCTGTACCTGCCTGAATAGAATTACCTTAGTTCCATCCTGTGTGACCCAGAATGATCCTGGTCTATGCCTGTTATTCTTGTCATATTATTAGCAATGCTTGCTTTCACTCTTAGAAGTGTCTTGAATTAGGCAATAACATGAATCCTCCTACCCACAGAGAAACAATTCAGCATGAGTGTGGACAGAGCTCTTGATTGTCCAACTTATGCTTCCTACTTGGGCAATTGTTGTTGTTTTCACTATGTTTTATTGACTTCTGTTTTAGAAAGAGGGGAAGAGAGAAGGATAGAGAGAAATATCAATGAGAGAGCCCTAGCTGGTTTCACTCAGTAGATACAGCGTCATCCTGCGGACTGAAGGGTCCTGGGTTAAAGTCTAGTCAAGGGTATATGCCTGAGTTATGGTTTGATCCCCAGTAGGGGGTATACAGGAGGCAACCCATCAATGATTCTCTCTCATCGTTGATGTTTCTATCTCTCTCTCCCTCTCCCTTCCTCTCTGAAATCAATAAAAATATATTTAAAAAAAGAAATATCAATGAGAGAGAAACATTGATTGGCTGCCTCCTACATGCCCCACACTAAGTGCCCTGATCTGGACTTGAACCAGTGACCTCTTGATTCATAGGTTGACACTCAACCACTGAACTACATCAGCCAGGCCCCTGGAAGGTGTTTTGGGTTTTTTTAGTTTTTTTTTTACCTAAACCTCAGTTTCTTCATACTAAATAAAGGAAAAAACACTGATTTTGTGGGACTGTGGGGAGATTTAAACAGGATAATATATGGAAACTACCTGCCAGTAAGTCAAAATGTATTGAATTTGCAAAAGGAAGAATTCCCACCAAAAACTCACCTACCTTGTTTATTAA